ATAAAAGCCAAAAACAGGTTCATTGTTTGGAACTCCTACATGCAACATGCTTCCCTTCAGTGACTGCCTCAGTGGTCTAGTGGTAGAGCGTCCACCCCGTAGTGGTCCTGGGTTCGATCCCCAGTCGCATCATACCAAAAGATGTTAAAAGATGGTACTTATTGTTACCCTGCCTTGCACTCGGCATTAAGGGGCTCACACAAGAACTGGTCGGCTCGGAGTCAGTATACTGTGTCTGAGTAGGATATTCATGTTAAACTGTCCCATGATATCTCAATGGGCTAGCACTGTAAATCAGCATCAGTCCTGACTAGTACAAGCAGCCCCCCACACACGTGTGTGTACGTTGTTAGATAGGTGCAATTATCTTGGACCGGACGTTCAACCCCATTTCCCCCCACCTCGCCTTCCATTTAGGGTTGTCCCATTATTTGTTGCCATCAGTATACTTTCATAGTGAGTGAGTGAGTATTCCAGGTACATCACGGCATGTCAGCTTAATGTGAAAGGAAAGCCCGAAGTGATGCAGGTCTCAGACGTTTCCCAGTTCGGTGAAACCCATTAGCACGGGTATGCTGCTGACAAACCTAGAAACAATCGGGGCGAACCGGGATTCGAACCTCTTAATCATAAGTTTCTGGCTTGTCCAAGGGACGCAACTCGTCACAGCGAAACGCGGCTCCTCAGACGACCGTAGTCACTGTATCAAAGCACCCCCATAAACACACACATATATATATATATATATATATATATATATATATATATATATATATATATATATATACCGTAGTCACTGTATCAAAGCACCCCCATAAACTGCTTGACTAATCTGTAAGTGATCTTTATAAGCTTGCCCTACTAAGACAGAAATTTAAATGACGGTCCATATATTTTACAGATTCAGATTTCAGAAGACCGTGTAGAAAGGGTATGTCAATGACTGGTAACTTTTATTGAAAATCGTTTAGCTTCGCCTACGTTTGAACCAAGTGTGTTCACTTCTGCTCATTTCTGGAAACGAATTTCACTTGTGTATGGTTTTAATAAACCCCTTTGTCAATTTGGAAAATGACTAGTGCAATTATTGTGGCAGATAGGGTAAGGAAGGAACAGTCTGCAGTATTCTTGCTGACGGTTCACATCTTGCAATGTTATGTGTGATATTTAAGATACAGAAAACTCAGCTAATAATATCTATTTATCATCTAAAATGGCCACCACGGGAGAGATTGCATTGTTGAATGAAATTGTATCACAATGCTTTGCAGACTAAAGTGACACTGGTTACCGTGACATCACGAATCTCTGCCACTGAAGCTGGTAAGCTGCATTTTTACACTCAATGGTCATTATAGTTGGTATTCGGCCAAGAATTTTAACTTAAGCTTCAGGTACATTGGTGATCTGATTTCGTTCAATAACCATGAAATAGCCGAATTCCTTTAACTTATTTACCCATCTGGTTGGTTTGATGTTTAACGCCGCACTCAGCAATATTCCAGCTATATGACGGCGGTCTGTAAATAATCGAGTCTGGACCAGACAAATCAGTGATTGATATCATGAGCATCGATCCACACAATTGGGATCGATGACATGCATCAACCAAGTCAGTGAACCTGACCACCCGATCCCGTTAGTCGCCTCCTACGACAAGCATATCGCCTTTTACTGCAAGCATGGGTTGTTGAAGACCTATTCTTTCCCGGATCTTCACGGGTCCGAAATTCAGGAGACCAATGAGACCGTCTCATCTGTTTCATACTTAGATCTATGCATAAAGATTCAGATCAATCTCATTAAAATCTGATCTTAGTTCTCGCTACCACTAAACAAACATCTCAGGACATCCCATTACGGGTCACGTCAAAACAACCTTTCACCCAACCAATCAGAGCATCGCTTACCAGATCATGAAAGTGACAGTCGGAATGTGTTTTCTAATCTTGCAACCACGAAATATTTAATACGGGGTATTCCGAACGACAGTTACGGGTTTTTTGATTATATCCATACAATCTAGGCCATCTATAAGCCATTCCAGATCGTTCTTTTTATCAGTTTTAATTTTTTTTAATCGAGAATACGTCAAAATATGTCTCGAAGCGTAGTCGCCAGTTTGAAACTAGTGTCACAAAGCTCGAGAAAGCTGCCTTCTGATTGGCTAATGTCGATTTCTTGTCAGTCATTTCATTGGTCGGTCAAAATTCGCGAAAGGTCGTTCTGACGTGACCCGTAATAGGATGTCCTCAGATCTTTGTTTAGCGGTAGCGAAAACTAAGATCTGATTTTAATGAGATTGGATTCAGAGTGACAAAACACTCTCCATAAGACTATGACAAGAGGGATGACTTCAACTTTCCAATAGTCAACTTTCCCTTCATGTCGAGCAATATTCCAGCAGCTCCGGCCTTTGGTGTCTACATTTCACAACTTTTGAGTTAAAATCGAGCATGCTCTTTCTACTAAGATTCAAAGAACGTCATAAGACTCTTGCTCAGAAGTTGTTTGATCAAGGTGACAACATTCAATGCCTCAGCTTTCAGAATGTTTTATGGTAGACATCCAAATTGTGATGCGTCTATGGCTAAATTTATGTCTGATGCAGTTCGACCGCCTCCGTGGTCTAGTGGTAGAGCGGAAGGTCCGGGGTTCGATCCCCAGCCACGTCATACCAAAAGACGTTAAAAGATGGTACTTGTTGTTACCCTGTCTGGTGCTCGGCATTAAGGGGCTAAAACAAGGACTGGTCGGCTCGGAGTCAGTATACTGTGTCTGAGTGGGGTATTCATGTTATGCGGCATGGTATCTCAGTGAGCTAGCACTATAAATCGGCATCAGTCCGGACTAGTACAAGCAGCCACACACACACACATACACGTATATGCACGTCGCTATATAAGTGCAATAATCTTGGACGCGACGTTAAACCCCATTTCACCTCACCTCACCTCTGATGCAGTTCCCTATTTCCTTTTGTCCAGGTGAACAATTGACTTGCCTTTGCATGTCTTTTTGTGAACACCTGGTATCATCACTATTGTATACTTATTCAAAAACACATGTTCATGATACTGTCAGAATCGTACAATCAATTCTGCTTTTGGAAAGAGCTTTGACGCTTTCATTTACAAATTGAAAAAGTTGGCAGAGTGATGATGAATACAATCTCACTCATGTGTCTTTTGACACAAATATATAAACACTTGTTGATCAAAGTTTACATAAATTGTCAAAAGACACTCGGGGTGAGATTCTCCTTGTATGTCTATAGGACACTACCTGGTGATGTGGCTGGTAGCTATTGCAGATGTTGACTTATGTTATGAATATGTACACCCTTTAAATAGCCACACAAATTACTAACAAGACACAATACCCATAAAGTGTGCATCCTAATTATTAAAACCTGCAACAATTCCAGTGGAATCAAACACATTAAGTCACACAAACAACAACACATCTGTTTATTAATTCCACAGTAATATCTGCATGTATTTACCACTAGAGAGTGTTTGCAGCTGCTGGTGATGTGAGGTGAGATGAGGTGAAATGAGATGAGGTTTAACTTCGCGTTCAAGATTGTCACACTTGTATAGCAACGCGGGGGGCACGGGTGGCCCAGTCGTCTAAGGCGCCGCGATTCGCTGTGCAGAGTTGCGTCCCTTGGGCACGCCAGAAACCCATGATTGTGGGTTCGAATCCCGGTTCGGCCCGACTAGGTTTGTCAGCCCCATACCCGTGCTCGTGGGTTTCACCGAAGTGGTAAACGTCTGAGACCTGCATCACTTCGTGTGTGTGTGTGCGCGCGTGTTTGTGCGCGTGCGTGCGTGCGTGCGTGCGTGCGTGCGTGCGTGCGTGCGTGCGTGCGTGCGTGAGTGAGAGAGATACCTTGCTCACGATCGTATACATATCACGATACTTCTATGTTCTTGTATCTGTTGTGCCTAACCCATACTTTTCACAGGATATTCAAATACCTGGCACACTGATGATTTACAGTTGGAAGTGTCAAGTATGGCGCAATGGATGGAAATATTTACTTTTTCACGACTAATTTTCACTACTAATTAGTGTTTGGGGTAACATTCATTTAAGAAACATCTAAGGTAAGGATCGATAATTTTTACTTTGTGTGCAACTGTGATCGATACTTGTATCGGGAAGTGAAATATTGCGATCCACCGATGCACCGATGCACCGATGTGTGTGTGTGTGTGTGTGTGTGTGTGTGTGTGTGTGTGTGTGTGTGTCTTGTTTTTAATTTGTGTGGCTCTTTCTGTTTAAAGTATGAACATATTCCATATTTTGGTTGCTCTCTGATGGTTTTTCAATGGCCGGCCTGATGATGAGGGTTGCTTCTAAACATAGAACAGTCTGATGAGCCTGTAAGATGTTTTTCTGTATACAGGAACAAGGTAAATGTCATTCAAACTGTTTCTACATCGTACAAGCAACCGTCATACTGCTCTATAGTATTTTATTTTTTTCCCTCCATAATTAATAGGGCTGTAATAAGATGTAATGTGATATTGTATAATATTTGTTCCGACAGACCAAGCATAAAAATACTTTGTATGATTTGAACTCGTGGTTAAGAAGGCCTCTATACCTTAAAAACATCTTGTATAATTCAACATTTTTGCAACTTTACTTTAAAAAAATATAATAATATTTTCATTTACATTCACTAAATATTAGATAATTTATTTACAATTAGTTTCTTTCAGTGAATAAACATTTTTAAAGGAAGTCTAAATTCATTTTTAAGCAGATTGTTAAAAATTACAAAATCATATATTTGTTTTAAGAGAAACAGCAGTAGATACGCGTAGGGATTTGAACTCGCGAATGTCAACTGCATTCGTGACCAACTCGTGTTGTTCCGGGACAAGCCGAATCTTCTTGCAGGTTACGGAAAGAGGCGAGTGGTGACGAATGTGTCAACTGTAGACTGCTTCGACGTTCAGAAGAATAGTAGGCTAGAGTAGCTTCCCTTTACGAACTCTTTTGTGAATTCCATGGAAACACAATGCCAAGATGGCAGTCGAACGATATTGACGATTTTCGTTTATTTTGGATAAGATTTTGAGCTTTATTAAATGTGACACTCACGTTCATGGCGTTAGGTAAGTGTCTTTCATTCTATTGTTTCTGACGTCGATTCAAGATTGAGAACTATGTGTACAGTTAGAGTTCAAATTACATGATCTAACTATATCTGGATCGAGAATCTACTTTATTGTCTTTATTTCAGTTTCGCTAAAATAATGTTCACAGATTTATCATTGTATCATATGAAAAAGGAAATCTAACATCCTGCTTAATGGAAAAAAATCACAATGACAAGATGCGGGTTCACATTGCTTAGTTGAATAAAGTAGACACATGGAATACAACCCAGGTCTGTCTGAGGAATATGAACCATTAATTTTTATTATAAATAAATTATATTTAATTTCCATTAATTGGAAACGGTAAAATGGTTGTATTGACAATGATTTGATGAAGTAGATCATTACCTGTGCTTTCATTGGTGTGCCTTGTCCAGACTTCAATCACACACAGGGTCTGTGCTCTCGTTAAAATCAGATACCACTCTGCTTGCAGATCTGAAGATATCTCCAGAGGAAATCTGATTTCACTGAGATTGATTTGTCAATTTGACTGTCCTTCAGATATGTTGCTATCACAGTTTAATCTAAGAACTCCCTTTAACTGATTTCTTTTGAAACAACAACCCCAAGATTTTCATGCTTAATTAGGAACACTGATTGCTACTTTGTTTTTAAAGTGTACCTCTGTCATGCATGCCATAGGGTCCCTCACCATCCTCCAGCACCAGGTTCACTTGGAAGATTTGTCATGGGACCAGCGTTAGAAATTGGCACTAGTCCTATAGTCCTTACCAATTTGTCCAATAGTTAAGGTATCATAAGGACTAGTAGAAATTTGCCAATTTTAAGGGTTTTTCTATATGCTATCATTGTAAGGACTAGTGGACTAAAACTGTTAGTTTCTACCCCTGGGGACTCAGGCTTTTTAATGCAGCTTAAACAGCAACCATGGTCCTAACTGTCGTTGTTTAATGGCAAGGTGTCCGCTCTCTACCATGTAGCATATATATAAGTCCCCTGTGGTAGCTGCCATGCAACCAGGCATTTATCTCGCTTCCCAGTACTGAAGAGACACTTTGCAAATTATTTATGTTCTTTACTTTTGCATTTTCACCAAAGGATGCTTCACATTTATGATCAACAATGCTTAAGAAAATTATAATGGGTCTGAAAAGTGCACTTGTTATATTGATACCTTGGTTTTGTGAAAACAACTAAATGTTTGGCTATCAGCGTTAGAAATTGGCACTAGTCCTGTAGTCCTTGCCAAACTGTTTAATAGTTAAGGTATCATAAGGACTAGTAGAAATTTGCCATTTTTAAAGGTTTTGCTATATCTTATTATAAGGACTAGTAGACTAAAAATGTTAGTTTCTACTGCTGGCTATCCGAGTATTACCTGAGATCTTACACTGTGCAGTTACTAAAGAAATAGAAAATTACATAACAATGAATATGTAATAATTCCTTCATTTTGTATTATTTGCCCCAAAAAACATAAAAAGAATGTATAAAGATATGAAACATGGGTAAAACTGTCATGCTTTTGTCAGGTCATGGTCATTGTCCTACCAGGGTTCCATTTAAACTGAATTGTTATTTCAATACTACAGAACCCTTTCCACCTGAACAATTAGTTCATGTTTTCAGACACCAATGAGGAGTGATACAGCGAGATCCAATGGCGCACAAATTTGTATCCGGGCGACAGCTCAAGAACCTGCTGAATGATGTTGAAAGGGTTCACAAGAAAGATATACATGACTATGCAGGGGGTCACCTAAATGAAACGTATATCCATCAAGTTGCCATGGCAACAAATCGTGTGCCATGGCAAAGTGCAAAGGAGGTACCCACACCACCTTCAGGTAAAAACACTCCGAAGCCAAGAAGTTCAAAGAAGGGCAAATCAATGAAAGAGATTCTCTACCAATTCAGTGTAGGGACCACAGGTAGCATCCCACACTCGCCGCCAGCAGTGCAAGTTCCCAGACAAACACCAGCTTCCAAAAAGAGCGAAAGAAGTTCAAGAGGTTCCCCCAACAAGCGTTATTCAAGTGCGAGTAACTCTTCAGCCAAGTCGACATACACAAATCTGGAGGATGGGGTTCTCATAGAGGAACTGGAAACCACGGAGATGATGATGCCATCAGGTGTTCGAGGAGGGAGAGATGTGAGCTTTGCTGATGAGGAGACAATGACGTACACAACAGCAACGTCACTCGCCCCAGACAACACGGGGAAGCTGAAGTTCAAGTATACATTCCTCCCCATGCAGAATGTGGGCATTACCAAACAGGACCAGTACCGCAAGTTCAAGAACTTTGAGTCGACTGTGTTGCGGAAACAGGAGACCTGTGAACAGAAAGTGTTGTCAGGGGTCAAGGCCGTTGAACATCATGAGAGAAAACTGCAGCAGGTAATGTCATACCATTCGATATTTGTTCTTCTATATTGTTGTAATTCACTGTGTGTTAGTCGTGCCAGAATCCTATGATCTCAGGTTTGAATCATAGATGTGTACTGTTTAATGAAGATCCCTGGTTTGTCACACCAAACCCTGCATGTGGATGCACCAGTGTTGTAAACTTCTATCATATGGATCACTTGGGCTTGTCTGCCACATTAAGATGAAATGCCCTGAAAGTTTGTCAAAATGGGGTTCATCCCAACTCAAGTACTCACGCAGTACACAGTTTTTGTATATATTTATTCAATGAGACGTTTGGATATCATGGTTGACAAAAGTGACTGAAACAAACATAAAATATTCACAAAACCATTTTACATTTAACATCAAGCTTGAAATCCCAATGTAGTCAATACCAGGGTTTCAGATGGACGTCGGTCACATGTTTTTGCATCATACTTTCTGTATCATAGGGAAACACTCTCTTGAGCTATAGTGACTTTGTCAAACGCTTCTCTTATCGCCACGTTCATGGCCAGATCATTTTTGTTGATTTGACTTGTTGACTTTTGCCATTGACCGTTTGCATTTCCTGTGTCTAAGTCATTGACCTATATAGAGGTTTTTGTGTCAAAATCACTGAATACAACAATTCCTCTGTGGCTTATTTTTAGTTTGATGAATAAATGTGTGTTGGATGTGTTGAAAACAGTCTGCGATTAAAATGTTGCTCTCAGGTGCATTATTTGTGCATTATTCACTGCAGTAGATATTATATATATTCATGTTTAGGTGATGCCTGTATTCGATCATTAAATCTAGAAGTGTAAAGATATTCGGGTACACAAGTTGAAAAGGCTTAATTCGGTAATTACGCCCTGTGTTGTATTCATGTTTCATGTAAATGTTTCAGCTGTACATTGTTGCACCATACAACTGTTCCAACTCTGAGACTTATATGCCTTCTCAGGGAGGTTCGCAAGCAACTCAAAATTACTTCTTTTATGGTGATTTGTTGTGAATGTTTTACGCAAATACGCAGCGGTTAGGGCTGTAATGATTCATTGACATTGACATTGATACTTGAATCATCAGTTTGTGAGATCACGATGCGTCATAAATAGAACAGGAACTAATAGATTTACCTCCCATAATAAAATAAGTAGCATAGCGCCACCTGTAGGCATTGCAGAACACAAGGATGTAGAGACTGAGGACGGACCGACTAACTGCTACATTTAATAACTATCCCAAATTTAACACTGTTTTGTTCTTGTGGTTGTCTTTGTAAACATTTTTTAGATAACAAATGACCGTAAATAGATGTATGAAGAAAAAGATGTTAGAGCTGTATTTCAGTGATTTCATCATTTCTTACTACCATATACGACGTAATAAGCGCCCAGGGCGCTCTCAAAATTAGAAATAGGGGGCTCTTATTAGAATATAATTTTGATGAGAAAAACAACAGAGTTGAAAGATTGTAAATTTTGGGGTTTATGCTGACAGCCTGAAATGATATAAAAGAAGAATCTGTGTGTATTATACACGATAGATATGTTTTCGAGAATTTAATTGCCCATAATTAAGGGTGCATATAACACACGAGTGCGTAATTATACACGAATAAATAAGTCTTGTGTACATTCATCAATTGGAAAGGATGCTAATTGGGATTGTTCACTAGCCAATATTTCAGCAAATATCGCCATGGGCGCTTATTAGAGCGGGGCGCTTATTACGATGAATACAGTAATTGATGTGGTGTGTCATGATACCGGTAGTATTGTCAGTCGTATTGTAAAATACCAGGCGATACTCCGCTCCAGCAGCTTATTTGGAGCTGTGAACCATGCAACCAACCATTGCAGTGGCTCTGGGTAACTGATCAAGCATTGATCAATAATTATAACATCATTTGTGTGTGCTTTCTGAAATGATATTTTGTTTGTCAGGAGCTGGATGCATTTAACCTGAACGGAATGGGACCCAACTTCCACAAACTGCAGGTGTACAGCGACACATTTGAAGATCTTATACAGGAGTCGCCAACATTTGCCTACATCCTCCGCTGCATCAAGGTGAGAAGGATGCAGCAGTGTGCAGTCATTGGTAGAGGTGTGGTCTTCTGCATAGTACACACTTTTTTTGAAAAAATACAGCTGTGTAGGGACCCGTGAAGATTCCGAGGTAGAATAGGTCTTCAGCAACCCATACTTGCCGTAAAAGGCTTGTCGGCTGACTTGGTTGATGCATGTCATCGATCCCAATTGCGTGGACCGATGCTCATGATATTAATCACTGGATTGTCTGGTCCAGACTCGATTATTTACAGACCGCCGTCATATAGCTGGAATATTGCTGAGTGCGGGGTTAAACAACAAACAAACAAACAAACAAACAAACAGCTGTGTAGGAGGGCTGAGACAGGTACAAATTTACTACCCGGGTACCCACCCCGCTATTACCCAACCCTACCCGGGTACCTGCTACAGGTCTCAAGAGTTTGGTACAAAAGGATTTACATAGTGTGCACACTTTTTTTCTTGTTTATACCTCCATAAATACAAAAAGATATGTCAACAATAATAACTTCACGGACTGCTTATTTAATCATAAACGTAACAAATGCTACAAACCAGTGACATCAATCATTGCTTATGCAGACCTGTGAAGATCCAGGTATAGAATAGGTCTTCAGCAACCCATGCTTGCCGTAAGAGGCAACTGTGCTTGTCGTAAGAGGCGACTAACGGGATCGGGTGGTCAGGCTTGCTGAATTGTTTCATGCATGTCATCGTATCCCAATTGTGTGCATTGATGCTCATGATGTCAATCACTGGATTGTCTGGTCCAGACTTGATTATTACTGCCGGCTGTCATACAGTTGGACTATTGTTGAGTGCGGTGTTAAGTCCCGCCCACTCCATTATCAGCCAATCAGGAAGCAGTAGTCCGGAAGTCTGTTTCTAGGGACTTTGGGGAGGTAACTTTTAGCATAGCCAAACATAAGCAATTATAAATATATTCTGATTGAAAAAATGATAGGTAAAGTATTTAATAGAGCGTTTGATTAAATATTTCAGAACAATTTATTGTTTAGCCATGTTAGCAAGGTATAGATTTCAGCTATTCATATCTGAACTTATCTGAGATGTATCATTTTCAATGGACATTTGCCAAGCATCAATAGCTTGAACTGATCAATCCATATACCTCTAGTCATTGGCCATAAGTGTTTGTGATATTCCCTATCTCAATTCATTCTTTCTCTGAAATTTCAATATAGCAATAATAGTGATGTGTGCATTAAGCTGGTAACAGATAATAATGTCAATACCTGATTGCAATATCTATGACAAAGAGATGCAGATGAAATGATACATTTATGTACATACACAAGCTGTTGCTTTTTAATATTATTTTGGTTGCAACATCAATGGTAATCTAGGTAGATGTCCTGTAGTCATGTACATCATGCCATATTATGATGGTACATAACCGTAAAGCAAACTGTTGCCATGAATCAATAAATCAACCTATGTAATAGTATAAGGTATTATCACCCACATGGTGAAGATACAGGTGGTAAGATACTAAATCCGTACGTCACACGTGTGTTGTACAAGGTTGACCTTTTTTAATCGTTTTGATTGGAAACCGTGACCTCTGTCACACCGGGACTATTTTTTTCATTCATAAAAAATCGCAAGACGTCATTCATTTTGCAACTATAAGGTAGAACTGAAGCAATCTCATGAGAGCGAGAGATATTTACAAACAATTTATTAAACCAAACAAGATAGTCACACGCATGAAATTCGGTTTGCATTCTATATACGTTATGCATAGAGCTTCAACAGACATTATATAATCAAGCGATATCCATTTACAATGTACGACTACCGATCAGTAGATCGAGGGTCCCCATGAGCGTGACGCACCCGACTTCTTTCGCATCTTTCAATCTGATTTTAAAAGGATAAGCGTGGTGGACAGATATCTAGACTTACTTGGGATTCTCTGGTTGTACCATCAGTGTCCTCTTTGAAAGGTATTTTGAGGCACTGTTTCAGGAGTTGTTTGTTTACGACTGCACGACCAGATCACTCAAAGTGAACATTTCCGATACAAATCATTCGAAAAATCCGTAGAAGTGTGCCTGACTTCTGATTATGTGGCCCAAAATATCCCAAATGTGAACAATAACATTCCCCATCTCTAGCGTAAACGCTGTGAGTGGCCTAGATCACAGTTGTCTTTTCTTATTCCGGTGGTGACCTTGCCCTTCGTTCGAAGCTGTCACTGACATGCAAGCAGACTTGAGTTTGTTCATTTTCACGTCTTCAGTATAGGGTGAACATGAATGTCTTTGGCGAACACTCTGATTTCCCTCACCCAAAATGGTACAGACATGATGTAAATTCAGCTGATAGATCAAGGATACCGAACCATTTTGATTGCACAGACTGGACCCCGGCAGTGCGAGTGATCGACTTTTAGTCCGATATTCAAAGCGGGGTGCTAATGTGACTCTTCAAATTTTCTTATAGCTGCCCACAGGAACTCGATGATAGCATGTATAACATAATATATTCGTATAGAAGAAAATCACACCCCTCTATATACATAGGGACAAGGAGTGACACCCGCCATCTTGGTTCTTATTCAAGATTTCGCAGTCGGTTCGAATGAGAGCTCATTATCGCATGACATATGAATGTCACTTATTTCTACCTACTGGAACCTTGCTAAACAAACCTCAGGCTACACAATCATGTTTATCTGTGGTCACCTTACCTCGTACCTATGTTATAACATTAGGTTCATAGAATTACTTATTCAACCTCTGTAATAACATTAGGTTCATAGAATCACTGATTAAACCCCTGCAATAACATTAGGTTCATAGAATTACTGATTAAACCTCTGTAATAACATAAGGTGTCATAGAATCACTGATTAAACCTCTGTAATAACATAAAGTGTCATAGAATCAGTGATTAAACCTCTGTAATATCATAAGGTGTCATAGAATCATTGATTAAACCTCTGTAATAACATAAGGTGTTATAGAAAAGCCGATTAAACCTCTGTAATATTAGGTGTTATAAAATAACAAATTACATTTCTCTGATAATATAATGTTTCGAGGTGATTTCCAAATTTAAGCACAAATGTTAACCTACAAATCGGAAAGTACAAAATTAGATAAGTAAATTGTGAAGTCAGTACATGACCACACACGATCAATGAATAGTCAAAAAGTTCTATTTAAACATGCAATCCTAGGTTTACAATAAGCAACCTTGTGGTCTAACTATAAGAGTGACAGGCAGACCTATTCTGTATTTCTCTACACATTTGGGTGGGGGCTAATGATAGTATTCCACTGAGTGTGATTGTCTGTTGCTGCAGTCGGAGTATGACAACTACATCGCCTCCTTGCTGGATGGCCAGACTGCCCAGCATCACGTGCTGCAGGATCAGGTGGATCAGATGGCTGCCAGGGGAACCTCACGACCCCGAGAACTCTTCACCGCCACAGAGAGGCTGGCTTCCCTAGAGGAATATGCCAAAACACTGCTGCAAAAAAATGAACAGTGAGTAGCATTTTACTCCTTTTTGGAAGCTGGATGGGGGACTACCAAGAGTTTCACTAAAAAACGGTAGCTTCCTTTAGCCAATCACACCAGTCTCATTGATCATTTGCTCTAAATTCAACACCTCCCTGTGTGAAGATCTGCCCGACTCTCAATAGGACACCAAACAGTCACACCATGGTAGTAAACCCTGAGCAAAATGTCACCAGCCAATCAAAATGTGTGATGCGTGGGTTTATAAGCCAATCGGATGTCAGCTTCTATTTTATCATTAAATCTGAAATGTCTGTCAAAACAAAAAACAACCACACGGAACGCAAATATTCCTTTGACAGTGCAGCCTTTTGGGGTTCAGATGCCATGGTGCTCAGAAACAACAACATGGTTGTTGGCTGGAATAGAGCTGACTGGAGAGGAACATTCATTTATTCATCACACACACAATTTGGGTTTTTAGTTCCAAGGTGATTGATATATGTTTATGTTGTAGAATGCGGGAAGAGGTTCGTGAACAGACTGAATGGCTGGCCACAGCTCCAGAACCAGGTAGGTTGATTGACGATTAATTCTTTTATTTTAGAATTGACTTCAGTATTTTTTGCAGTTATGTAGGTATAAAATAAAAATGTTGATTTACATGGTGTGCAGTAGTTTGCACTGGGTTTTTTTTACGTTTAAACATATAAAAACATAACGAAGCCAATACTTATAAATAAATATGTCAACAATAATAACTTCACAGACTGTTTATTTAATGTTGAGCGCACAAAATCTGTGGGAGTGTTCAGGGAGGGGGAGGGGTTGGGAATCATGTCTTGTATTTTGATCAGCAAGTAGTAAGTTGAAATCTGTCAAAATCTGTCTCTGAACCAAATAATCAGATAGATTATGATTATCAATCAGACCGTCTTGATTGGGTGCTGCCATTTTATTTGAAGCAAATGCAAGTGATATGAGAGGTGGAATCTGATTGGTCAGTCGGAGGGACATAGAAGGCTAAACAAAGATCTGAGGACATCCCATTGGGGGTCACGTCAGAGTGACCTTTCATCCGACCAATCAGAGCGTCGCTTACCAGATCATGAAAGTGACAGTCGGAAGATTTCTGATCATGCAACCTCGAAAACTTTAACATGGGTTATTCCGAAGGATAGTTACGGGCTTAACCACTGAATCAACACAATCTAGACCATCTATTAGCCATTCCAGCATGTTCTTTTGTTCAGGTTTCAAAATTTTAATCGAGAATTTGTCAAAATATGTTTCGAAGCGTAGTCGCCAATTTGAAATTAGTGCTGTAAAGCACAAGAAAGCTGCCTTCTGATTGGCTAATGTCGACTTCTTGTCAGTCATTCCATTGGTCGGTCAAAGTTTGCACAAGTTCAGACTGACATGACCTGTAATGGGATGTCCTCAGATCTTTGTTTAGCGGTAGCAAGAACTAAGATCAGATTTTAATGAGATTGGTTTGAAGCTGATGACGTGTTGACTGTTTGCCAGAGCCCGTCCCAACCATTGGTTTGGCCCCCGTGCATTACAAGGACACACAGATGGAGCTGGCTGATGAGATTGAGCATGTGAAGGCCCTGATCCTGGAGAAGCTGGATGCCCTGAATGCCCTGAGATGCCACCTGAGAGATGAGTGTGTGCCCCTGACAGTCTGTACCCACCTGGAGCAGTGCATCAAGGAAACCGAGGTCAGTGATGTCTGGTCAAGTTGCTCTATACTTCCTTTGGCTTCCTTTGTTAGCTTGTACCCTTTATTTTCCACCTTTCGTTATCTTATTAATTTTGTTGCCCTTACATGTACATATATATATATATGCTCTCTGCCTCATGGCATTCATTCGCCTGATGAAGGAGTAAGCATATACTCCGAAACGTTATGTTACTCATTATAAAGAAGTTGACATCCATATGTTCTCTTCCTCATCTTAAATCATTAGTCAATAAGGACAACGATGACAGTAGTTCAAAACTTGGTGTCTTTACTAAATCCTCAGCCACAACTGACTCCTCAGCCTAACTGGCATTACCCAATCTCATTAAAATCAGATCTTAGTTCTCGCTGTCGCTAAACAAAGATCTGAGGACATCCCATTACGGGTCACGTCAGAACGACCTTTTATCCGACCAATCAGAGCGTCGCTTACCAGATCTTGAAAGTGACAGTCGGAATGTGTTTTCTGATCATGCAACCTCGAAAACATTAACAAGGGGTATTCCGAATGACAGTTACAGCCCGTACGACTGCTTCCATAAAAATTATCGTCTATCTCTCGCTTGTGTGGGATAAACATTTGAACGGAGGTGGCGTTGCACAGTACGTGGAAAGCACTGCAATTCAATCTCAACCATATATTAGACATTCCGGAATGTTCGTTTGTTCAGTTTTCAAAATTTTAATCGAGAACTGTGTTAACATATTTTTCAAGCGTAGTCTGAAATGGAAGTCACCAGGTTGAAACGATTGCTGTAAAGCTCGAGAAAGTTGCTTTCTAATTTGCTGATGTCGACTTCTTGTTAGTCATTTCAATGGTCGGTCAAAGTTCGCGGAAGGTTGTTCTGACATGACCCGTAATGGGATGTCCTCAGATCTTTGTTTAGCGGCAGCGAGAACTTTTTTAATGAGATTGGGCATTACCATGACAACACTAATCACATGTACATGACATCACAATCAAGAAGAACATATATGCATACCATAACTAAGGTTACATGATCATTTATTCTACACTGTGTGAGATGGGACAGACTGGCATAACTCTTTTAGTAGGGCTGTTACAATTCACTCGGGTATTTGGTGAATTGACCCTTATCCATTCATAAATTGAATTCCTTATTCATGGTCACTAAAATCGAATATTTCCGAATATGCAGTCATGTGCATTTACATACCTTGTACCTTAAAATATCCATAAGATCATATTACATGCATAGATTTCTTTAAAGACAACACTCATGTATTTATTTGACAATATTGTGGTCACTGGTCATTGTCGTATTTGAGCAGATGCTAGTACCTTGATAAGTGTAGTATGTGAATGTATAACATATTAATAATTAACCAACCATGTCAAATAATTTATGTTGTTATTGTTCATTGAGTATAACAAATGATACATCAACTGCTGACTTGTTATTGTATTCGTGAATAAATATTCGTATTTGTTACCCTATATATTCGTGATACATATCGTATTCGCCTCATAGTGTATTCGTTGAGGCTCTTTCTTTTTGTCCTTCTTGCAAACCACAATAATGCATGGAGCATGGAGCATATCTGTAACTCATAGTGAGGTACTACTAGCAGTGTTACTTCTACTTTAATCACTGCACGAGTGTGAAGCCTAGTGAGTGTACACAATCAGAGACTATCTGCCAAGCTGCTGAGGTATTCACTGTAAGGGAGCGACCATTTGATTTCTATGGGGGGGGGCCGGAAGTATTTACAAATGAATAGTTTGTTGGAGATAATCAGTAAAATAAATAGAATGTTTACTACTGTGAGAAAAATGAATAGTTTGTTTCCAGATATAATTTTGCATGTAATTGCAACATTTATCTATTAAATTAAAGAATTATTCCAGCATTATAAACGTAAAAATTTTCCGCCGCCTTTTGCGCAACATCACTATTTCTTTAATCTTATTTGTTGCTATTTCTGTATATGAAGTTAATGGCTTCAGTTCAGCACATTTTGCTATTTAAATGCATGTACAAATATTCAGGCGTCCAATTTAACAATTTCCAAAAAGAAATAACCAAGCTACAATGTTGTAAAAGAACACATTTATTCACTGATAAATGTTGAACATATTTATATTGTGGTTTGTTTGAGGAATGGTTTGAATCGTGGGATGTGTGTGTGTGCCAGGCAAAGGTTGGTACAGTTACGATGGCTTGGAAGTATACCACCGATAGGGGCCGGGACTAAAGAAACAGCTATTACCGCGTCCTCCACCGGGCTACAAACAGGACTACTGTATTTATGTCAGGGAATGAAAAAGACTATTATAACAGGTGTTCTATAGCTGTTCATGTTATAATACACCACAGGCTGAATTTGCTGAAATATGATTGCATATTTTACTCTATAATAAAATTGCAAAATTACCATCTGAAATGAATAGTTTGTTCAGCTGTATGTTACAAAAAAATAGTTTGTTAGAAATGGCTTCAGATTAAAAATAGTTTGCTGAGAAAACAACTTCCGCCCCCCCCCCCCCCCCCCCCATAGAAATCAAATGGTCGCTCCCTAAGTTATTGAATATCTCCTGGTCATGAAATAGCCGATTTATCACGAGTCTTCAATGTTGATAGCTCACCCATGTCTTTTGACTCCTAATCTTAATAGCTCTAGGTCCATTTAGGGGGAACGGGTGGCCCAGTCGTCTAAGGCACTGCGATTTGCTGTGCAGAGTTGCGTCCCTTGGGCATGCCAGAAACCTATGATTGTGGGTTCGAATCCCGGTTCACCCTGATTATGTTTCTAGGTTTGTCAGCACCATACACGTGCTTATGGGTTTCACCGAAGTGGTAAACCTCTGAGACCTGCATCACTTTCGGGCTTTCCTCCCACATTAAGCTGACACGCCGTGATGGAATACTGTTAAAAGCGGCGTTAAACCCAACTCACTCACTTACACTAGGTCCATTTAGGGTCCTTTGGTCTTTTTGACACATTCAACGACTGAATGTGCAAGTGATGGAAAGAAAAAAAGGCTTGTCATTCATATGACTTTTTTCAATATCTTGTCACCAATTTGAAAATCTGCCTTTTCTGTTTGGTTAATCACACATCATGCAATGGAGAACTAGAACTTAATTACAACTATTTAGTTCTTCAAACAAGATGTCCTACATATGGATGAGGATGAGTACAACTGTGGTGGTGTTGGGTGTGTAGGTGGAGGTGCAGAAGTTGCTGAAGCAGAACGAGTACTATGAGCGAAGCATCGCGGAGATGGACCACGACCTGAAGGAGGCCATCATTGACGCCGACACCAGCGAGAAGGATGCCAAGTAAGTCATTGGTCTCTGTTCAAGCAATGCAGGACTAAGATGTAGGCTGTTTATTTGTTCAGGACAATGCAGGATTGAGATGTAGGCTGTTTATTTGTTCAGGGCAATGCAGGATTGAGATGTAGGCTGTTTATTTCCTCAGGGCAATGCAGGATTGAGATGTAGGCTGTTTATTTGTTCAGGGCAATGCAGGATTGAGATGTAGGCTGTTTATTTGCTCAGGGCAATGCAGGATTAAGATGTAGGCTGTTTATTTGTTCAGGACAATGCAGGATTGAGATGTAGGCTGTTTATCTTGTTCAGAACAATGCAGGATTGAGATGTAGGCTGTTTATTATTTCCTCAGGGCGATGCAGGACTGAGATGTAGGCTGTTTATTTCCTCAGGGCAATGCAGGATTGAGATGTAGGCTGTTTATTTCCTCAGGGCAATGCAGGATTGAGATGTAGGCTGTTTATTTCCTCAGGGCAATGCAGGATTGAGATGTAGGCTGTTTATTTCCTCAGGGCAATGCAGGATTGAGATGTAGGCTGTTTATTTCCTCAGGGCAATGCAGGATTGAGATGTAGGCTGTTTATGTTGCTCAGGGCAATAGGCTTGTGGTATGGTAGACACAATTTTGATGTGGGCGAAAAACAATGAGATTCTTGCTTTGTCATTAGAGGGGATGATTTGGTCAAGGCTTGGTGTATCATAGAAATGACAAATTATTTGGTTTGAACAGAATACTGTATCTAGTTAGTTATAATATGAAGACAGCAGGTCACTGTGGACTACACTGTGTCTGAGTATACATGAGAAGCGACATGTGTTACAGTAATGATATATAACTATGAGGACATAATATACACGTTTATACACAAGGTCACAAAGCCTGCTTGTTTGTCAGTCTAACAGAAGGTATGTGGTCATCTCATCAGTGACAAGAATGTCCTGGCAGATGTCACTGACTAAAATCTCAGGCTGATGTCACTGACAAGAATGTCAGGCCTGATGTCACTGACAAACATTCAAGAATGTCTGGGCTGATGTCACTGACAAAGATTACAGGGGTGATGTCACTGACAAGAATGTCCGGACTAATGTCACTGACAAGAATGTCCAGGATGATGTCACTGACAAGAATGTCTGGACTGATGTCACTGACAAACATTCAGAATGTCTGGGCTGATGTCACTGACAAGAATGTCCGGACTGATGTCACTGACAAACATTCAAGAATGTCTGGGCTGATGTCACTGACAAGAATGTCCGGGCTGATGTCATTGACAAGAATGTCAGGCCTGATGTCACTGACAAACATTCAAGAATGTCTGGGCTGATGTCACTGACAAGAATGTAAGGCCTGATGTCACTGACAAACATTCAAGAATGTCTGGGCTGATGTCACTGACAAAGATTACAGGAGTGATGTCACTGACAAGAATGTCTGGACTGATGTCACTGACAAGAATGTCCAGGCTGATGTCACTGACAAGAATGACCAGGCTGATGTCACTGACAAACATTTAGAATGTCTGGGCTGATGTCACTGACAAGAATGTCCGGACTGATGTCACTGACAAACATTCAAGAATGTCTGGGCTGATGTCACTGACAAGAATGTCCGGGCTGATGTCATTGACAAGAATGTCATGGCTGATGTCACTGACAGGAATGTTATGGCTGATGTCACTGACAAGAATGTCCTGGCAGATGTCACTGACAAACATTCAAGAATGTCCAGGCTGATGTCACTGACAAGAATGTCTGGGCTGATGTCATTGACAAGAATGTCTGGGCTGATGTCATTGACAAAAATGTCATGGCTGATGTCACTGACAAGAATGTCCAGGCTGATGTCACTGACAAGAATGACCAGGCTGATGTCACTGACAAACATTTAGAATGTCTGGGCTGATGTCACTGACAAGAATGTCCGGACTGATGTCACTGACAAACATTCAAGAATGTCTGGGCTGATGTCACTGACAAGAATGTCCGGGCTGATGTCATTGACAAGAATGTCATGGCTGATGTCACTGACAGGAATGTTATGGCTGATGTCACTGACAAGAATGTCCTGGCAGATGTCACTGACAAACATTCAAGAATGTCCAGGCTGATGTCACTGACAAGAATGTCTGGGCTGATGTCACTGACAAGAATGTCTGGGCTGATGTCACTGACAAGAATGTCCGGGTTGATGTCCCTGACAAACATTCAAGAATGTCTGGGCTGATGTCACTGACAAGAATGTCCGGACTGATGTCACTGACAAGAATGTCTGACTGATGTCACTGACAAACATTCAGAATGTCTGGGCTGATGTCACTGACAAGAATGTCCGGACTGATGTCACTGACAAGAATGTCTGACTGATGTCACTGACAAACATTCAAGAATGTCTGGGCTGATGTCACTAACAAGAATGTCTGGACTAATGTCACTGACAAGAATGTCTGGACTAATGTCACTGACAAGAATGTCCAGGCTGATGTCACTGACAAGAATGACCAGGCTGATGTCACTGACAAACATTTAGAATGTCTGGGCTGATGTCACTGACAAGAATGTCCGGACTGATGTCACTGACAAACATTCAAGAATGTCTGGGCTGATGTCACTGACAAGAATGTCCGGGCTGATGTCATTGACAAGAATGTCATGGCTGATGTCACTGACAGGAATGTTATGGCTGATGTCACTGACAAGAATGTCCTGGCAGATGTCACTGACAAACATTCAAGAATGTCCAGGCTGATGTCACTGACAAGAATGTCTGGGCTGATGTCACTGACAAGAATGTCTGGGCTGATGTCACTGACAAGAATGTCCGGGTTGATGTCCCTGACAAACATTCAAGAATGTCTGGGCTGATGTCACTGACAAGAATGTCCGGACTGATGTCACTGACAAGAATGTCTGACTGATGTCACTGACAAACATTCAGAATGTCTGGGCTGATGTCACTGACAAGAATGTCCGGACTGATGTCACTGACAAACATTCAAGAATGTCTGGGCTGATGTCACTGACAAGAATGTCCGGGCTGATGTCATTGACAAGAATGTCAGGCCTGATGTCACTGACAAACATTCAAGAATGTCATGGCTGATGTCACTGACAGGAATGTCATGGCTGATGTCACTGACAAGAATGCCCTGGCAGATGTCACTGACAAACATTCAAGAATGTCCAGGCTGATGTCATTAACAAGAATGTCTGGGCTGATGTCATTGACAAGGATGTCTGGGCTGATGTCATTGACAAACATTACAGGACTGATGTCACTGACAAGAATGTCCAGACTGATGTCACTGACAAGAATGTCCGGACTGATGTCACTGACAAACATTCAGAATGTCTGGGCTGATGTCACTGACAAGAATGTCCGGACTGATGTCACTGACAAGAATGTCCAGACTGATGTCACTGACAAGAATGTCTGACTGATGTCACTGACAAACATTCAGAATGTCTGGGCTGATGTCACTGACAAGAATGTCCGGACTGATGTCACTGACAAACATTCAAGAATGTCTGGGCTGATGTCACTGACAAGAATGTCCGGGCTGATGTCATTGACAAGAATGTCAGGCCTGATGTCACTGACAAACATTCAAGAATGTCATGGCTGATGTCACTGACAGGAATGTCATGGCTGATGTCACTGACAAGAATGCCCTGGCAGATGTCACTGACAAACATTCAAGAATGTCCAGGCTGATGTCATTAACAAGAATGTCTGGGCTGATGTCATTGACAAGGATGTCTGGGCTGATGTCATTGACAAAAATGTCATGGCTGATGTCTGTGACAGGAATGTCATGGCAGATGTCACTGACAAGAATGTCCGGGTTGATGTCCCTGACAAACATTACAGGGCTGATGTCCCTGACAAGAATGACCGGGTTGATGTCCCTGACAAACATTACAGGGCTGATGTCACTGACAAGAATGTCCTGGCAGATGTCACTGACAAGAATGTCCGGGTTGATGTCCCTGACAAACATTACAGGGCTGATGTCATTAACAAGAATGTCTGGGCTGATGTCATTGACAAGGATGTCTGGGCTGATGTCATTGACAAAAATGTCATGGCTGATGTCTGTGACAGGAATGTCATGGCAGATGTCACTGACAAGAATGTCCGGGTTGATGTCCCTGACAAACATTACAGGGCTGATGTCCCTGACAAGAATGTCCGGGTTGATGTCCCTGACAAACATTACAGGGCTGATGTCATTAACAAGAATGTCCGGGCTGATGTCATTGACAAGAATGTCAGGCCTGATGTCACTGACAAACATTCAAGAATGTCTGGGCTGATGTCACTGACAGGAATGTCATGGCTGATGTCACTGACAAGAATGTCTGGGCTGATGTCATTGACAAGAATGTCTGGGCTGATGTCACTGACAGGAATGTCATGGCTGATGTCACTGACAAGAATGTCTGGGCTGATGTCACTGACAAGAATGTCTGGGCTGATGTCATTGACAAAAATGTCACGGCTGATGTCACTGACAAGAATGTCCTGGCAGATGTCACTGACAAGAATGTCCGGGTTGATGTCACTGACAGGAATGTCATGGCTGATGTCACTGACAAGAATGTCTGGGCTGATGTCACTGACAAGAATGTCTGGGCTGATGTCATTGACAAAAATGTCATGGCTGATGTCACTGACAAGAATGTCCTGGCAGATGTCACTGACAAGAATGTCCGGGTTGATGTCACTGACAAGAATGTCCTGGCAGATGTCACTGACAAGAATGTCCGGGTTGATGTCCCTGACAAACATTACAGGGCTGATGTCATTAACAAGAATGTCCGGGCTGATGTCATTGACAAAAATGTCATGGCTGATGTCACTGACAGGAATGTCATGGCAGATGTCACTGACAAGATTGTCCGGGTTGATGTTCTTGACAAACATTACAGGGCTGATGTTACTGACAAGAATGTCCGGGGAGATGTCCCTGACAAGAATGTCATGGCCGATGTCACTGACAGGAATGTCATGGCTGATGTCACTGACAAGAATGTCCTGGCAGATGTCACTGACAAGAATGTCCGGGTTGATGTCCCTGACAAGAATGTCCGGGTTGATGTCCCTGACAAACATTACAGGGCTGATGTTACTGACAAGAATGTCCGGGGTGATGTCCCTGACAAGAATGTCATGGCCGATGTCCCTGACAAGAATGTCCAGGCTGATGTCACTGACAAGAATGTCCGGGCTGATGTCCCTGACAAGAATGTCCGGGCTGATGTCACTGACAAGAATGTCCGGGCTGATGTCACTGACAAGAATGTCATGGGCGATGTCCCTGACAAGAATGTCCAGGCTGATGTCCCTGACAAGAATGTCATGACCGATGTCCCTGACAAGAATGTCCAGGCTGATGTCACTGACAAGAATGTCATGGCTGATGTCACCAAGTTATTCCATTCAGTCATTTGTTATACACCACACACCTGTCAGGACTTGTCAAAAACAAAATAACACAACCTCACCAGATGAAGATATCACAACAAATGACATTCAACTCACTGATAATGTACCTGGCAACCAGCGATACCTTGGTGCTATTTTCACTTGATCACTTACAGATGACCTAGTATCATAAGATGCAGATACACTAATCTGAGTGGCAGATGTGAATGAGAGCCCTCTCTCCTCTGTGACATTTATTATTTCAATTTTTGTTGTAGACGAATATGGAGGAAAGTGAACTCTAAGCGTGGTATCCCTGGTGCGAGGCCATCACCGTCACAGCCACAGAGTGACAGCGATGACGAGGAGGAGAGCAAGTGGAACTGGTACATTTCGTAATAGACATTGTCAGTCACGTCAACAGACCAGGTCCTATCAGAAGGAACAACATGAGAGTGACCTCCCTTTCTGTTTACATGACAAACCAGGGAGGTCTCATCTTGACTGTGGAGCATCATAGCTGTGATAGAACTGAATCTTCAGAACCTTTTCATGTATACTGCATAGAAGATTTATTTTAATGTTTACTTGTTGATAATTATATAATTTTACATATTTTTTGAAAAAATGAGATTTTGCTCATGAAAACGTGACTGGTGAACTTTGATTGTGCGAACAGAATGTTAAGATAATATCATATGTTATTAGCTGAGAGTTTGGGGGATGAATTGATTTGTTTTTCTCTGTTTACCAAAAAGAGCTTTAAGTCTGTGCTGTGTCGTGGGGCATTTAACAATTGTATCATGAAGTTTGTATCATGAAGCCATGTATGATCTGGACACAATGATACACACGAGAGGATAGCATGTTGTAAGTTACAAAAATGAGCTTTACAAGAGAATTCTCTGACATTATACATGTATGTTACAGCCAATGTGTAAGATGGGACTCCTTTTGGCAATTTACAAACTGACTGAAAGATGTGTCCATTAATTTGACAGATTGACTGAACACAAAGAAGTTCAAAAAGGCTTCAAATCATCACAATAGAATTATGCTAGAATTATAATCCAAAAAATACAGCGACTTTCATTTTCTTTTAATCATCTTTTTTAGTCACTGGGGGATGAAATTCAACATTAAAATGTTTGCAATTCGTTATCATAATGAAATTAATGGACCAATTTTTCAGTCAATTTGTCAAATAACCAAAATATATTGCCTTTTTGTAAATTGCCTAAGTGAAGATTTCTGTCACTTTACGCATTGACTGTTTCATATACATCCTTGATCTAGCCATTGTTTAATTTCCACAAACGTACTGGGTCCTGTTCCACAAAGCGATCGTAGCGCTACGATTGTCGTAAGTCTATGTTATAGTATGGGAGTTACGATTGTCTTAGTGCTACGATCGCTTTCTGGAACAGGGCCCTGGTCCCCGTTCCACAAAGCAATCTTAGCGCCACGACTGTCGTAAGTCAGTGATAAAGAATGGGAGTTACAATCACCTTAGCGCTAAGATTGCTTTGTGGAACGGGGCCCTGGTCTTAACCTGTTCTCTGTGATGAATTGCACAGCATTGTATCCTAATCATCATGCCCCTATTATCAAAACTAGAGTCTTCCATACTTAGTTTTGGTTTCGTTCTAGCGATGGAGTTCCCTATCATGCCTTGAATGAGTATTACCCATTACAGCATTACTTTAGTATGTTCCAAGTCCAAATTTACTACCCGGGTACCCACCCCCTGATTACCTGACCCTACCCGGGTACCCACCCTCTTATTACCTGACCCTACCCAGGTACCCACCCCCTTATTACCTGACCCTACCCGGGTACCCACTGTTGGTCTTAAGAGATACAAGATGTCTGATTGGGAATTGTTTTACCACAGCACTTGCAAAATGTATTTAGATACAATCTGGACATGCATACACTGAAGTTGAATTAAGTTATATCTTTATTCAAAAATATGAAAAGTCAGAAGGAATGGGTGCATAGTCAGAAAGAAATGCAAACATTAGTGTAAGCATAGAGTTCGAGATAATTTTTGTTATTTAACAATAAATCAAGTGACTTACCACGGGTCCGGGTAGTCATGTGGGTACCCGGGTCCTGCTCAGTACCCACCTGACCCGGGTACCCGGGTTACCCTGGTCATAAGAGGCGACTCAAAGGATCGGTGGGTCAGACTCGGTGACATGGTTGACGGTATGTCATCGTTCCCCGACAGGGGAGATTGTTGCTCACAATATCAATGACTGTCTTGTCTGGTCCAGACTCGATTATTAACAGGTCCATGTCATAGAGCTGGAATAAACAATAGACACTCACACACTTTAGAAAGAATTCTTAAAGATTCCTGACAGCTTGACTATAACTCAGACACGATGTAGGTTTATTGCAGTGTTAGGTTTGTTTCCTCCATGTTTGCTGTTGCAGTTTGGACTGTCATGGCAGCTTGTGGGGATGAAAATATTGGCAACCTAAGGAAATGTGTTTTGTTTTAATTGAAATTGTGAAAGGAGGTCTGTGGAGAATATTCTACGAGGAATTACAGATTGTATGTCCTGAGTGAAATAAATTTGTATCTCCTAAGCCTTGTGTGTTGTCTTGTTTGTATTGTGATAGGGAAATATGTAAGCAATAGAGGATAATGTATTATCTGTTTTGAATGAATTAATCTTGTCCAGAGGTGAGGTGAAATGGGGTTTAACGTCGCGTCTAAGATTATTGCACTTATATAGCGACGTGTGTGCGTGCGTGGTGCGTGCGTGCGCGCTAGACCCGACTGATGCCGATTTATAGTACTAGCTCACTGAGATACCATGCCGCAGTTTAACATGAATACCCCACTCAGACACAGTATACTGACTCCGAGCTGACCAGTCCTTGTTTTAGCCCCTTAATGCCGAGCGCCAGACAGGGTAACAACAAGTACCATCTTTTAACGTCTTTTGGTATGACGCGGCCGGGGATCAAACTCCAGACCTTCCGCTCTCCGGGCGGACGCTCTACCACTAGACCACGGAGGCGGTCAAACTTATCCAGAACCCTGATGGGAGCCTTTGTACATGAATTCATGGAGGGAGGTGAGTTGAAATGGCGTTCAAGATGAACGTTCAATATAGCGATTGACATGCATGTGTATGTGTGTTTGCTTATACTAGTCCAGACTAATGCTGTTTTGTAGTGCTCACCCAATGAGATACCATGCCCCAGTTTAACATGGATACCCCACTCAGACACAGTATACTGACTCCAAGTCGACCAGTTGTCTTATCCCTTTGAAGCCAAGAATTAGGCAGGGTACCATCTTTTAACATATTTTGGTATGACAGCCAGGGGATTATGGGGAGCATGTGCCGAAACACTCTATCCATTAGACCACAGAGGCTGTCTGGGCATATGCTCTATCCACTAGACCACAGAGGCTGTCTCGGCATATGCTCTATCCACTAGACCACAGAGGCTCTCTGGGCAGACACTCTATCCATTAGACCACAGAGTCTGTCTTGGCATATGCTCTATCCATTAGACCACAGAGGCTGTCTGGGCAGACACACTTTGCATCAGACCACAGAGGCTATCTGGGCAGACGCTCTGTCCATTAGACCACACAGGCTGTCTAGGCATATGCTCTATCCACTAGACCACAGAGGCTGTCTGGGCAGACGCTCTATCCACTAGACCACAGAGGCTGTCTGGGCATATGCTCTATCCATTAGACCACAGAGGCTGTCTGGGCAGACGCTCTATCCATTAGACCACAGCGGCTGTCTGGGCATATGCTCTATCCACTAGACCACAGAGGCTGTCTGGGCAGACTCTCTATCCATTAGACCACAGAGGCTGTCCGGGCAGACACTCTATCCATTAGACCACAGGCTGTCTGGGCAGACACACTATGCATTAGACCACAGAGGCTATCTGGGCAGACGCTCTGTCCATTAGACCACACAGGCTGTCTGGGCATATGCACTATACACTAGACCACAGAGGCTGTCTGGGCAGACGCTCTATCCACTAGACCAAAGAGGCTGTCTGGGCAGACGCTCTATCCATTAGACCACAGAGGCTGTCTGGGCATATGCTCTCTCCACTAGACCACAGAGGCTGTCTGGGCAGACACTCTATCCATTAGACCACAGAGGCTGTCTTGGCATATGCTCTATCCATTAGACAACAGAGGCTCTCTGAGCAGACACTATGCACTAGACCACAGAGGCTGTCTGGGCAGACACCATGCACTAGACCACAGAGGCTGTCTGGGCAGACGCTCTATCCACTAGACCACAGAGGCTGTCTGGGCATATGCTCTATCCACTAAACCACAGAGGCTGTCTGGGCAGACACACTATGCATTAGACCACAGAGGCTGCCTGGTCAGACACTCTATGCATTAGACCACAGAGGCTGTCTGGGCAGACACTCTATCCATTAGACCACAGGGGCTCTCTGGGCAGACATTATGCATTTGACCACAGAGGCTGTCTGGGCACATGCTCTATCCACTAGACCACAGAGGCTGTCTGGGCAGATGCTCTATGCATTAGACCACAGAGGCTGTCTGGGCATATGCTCTATCCACTAGACCACAGAGGCTGTCTTGGCATATGCTCTATGCACTAGACCACAGAGGCTGTCTGGGCAGACACACTATGCATTAGACCACAGAGGCTGTCTGGTCAGACACACTATGCATTAGACCACAGAGGCTGTCTGGTCAGACACTCTATCCACTAGACCACAGAGGCTGTCTTGGCATATGCTCTATGCACTAGACCACAGAGGCTGTCTGGGCAGACACACTATGCATTAGACCACAGAGGCTGTTAGGTCAGACACTCTATCCACTAGACCACAGAGGCTGTCTGGGAATATGCTCTATCCACTAAACCACAGAGGCTGTCTGGGAATATGCTCTATGCATTAGACCACAGAGGCTGTCGAGGCAGACACTCTATGCACTAGACCACAGAGACTGTCTTGGCATATGCTCTACCACTAAACCACAGAGGCTGTCTTGGCATATGCTCTATCCACTAGACCACAGAGGCTGTCTGGGCAGACACTCTATGCATTAGACCACAGAGGCTGTCTTGGCATATGCTCTGTCCACTAAACCACAGAGGCTGTCTGGGCATATGCTCTATCCATTAGACAACAGAGGCTGTCTGGGCAGACACTCAATGCATTAGACCACAGAGGCTGTCTGGGCATATGCCCTATTCATTAGACAACAGAGGCTGTCTGGGCAGACACTCAACGCGTTAGACCACAGAGGCTGTCTGGGCAGACATTCAATGCATTAGACAACAGAGGCTGTCTGGGCAGACACTCAACGCATTAGACCACAGAGGCTGTTTGGGCAGACATTCAATGCATTAGACAACAGAGGCTGTCTGGGCAGACACTCAACGCATTAGACCACAGGGGCTGTCTGGGCAGACACTCAACGCATTAGACAACAGAGGCTGTCTGGGCAGACACTCAACGCATTAGACCACAGAGGCTGTTTGGGCAGACACTCAATGCATTAGACCACAGGGGCTGTCTGGTCAAACACTCTATGCATTAGACCACAAGGGCTGTCTGGGCAGACCCTCTATGCATTTGACCACAGAGATTGTCTGGGCAGACACTCTATGCATTAGACCACAGAGGCTGTCTGGGCAGACACTCTATGCATTAGACCACAGAGGCTGTCTTGGCATATGCTCTATCCACTATACCACAGAGACAGTCTGGGCAGACACGCTATGCATTAGACCACAGGGTCTGTCTGGGCATATGCTCTATCCACTAGACCACAGAGTCTGTCTGGGCATATGCTCTCTCCACTAGGCAAGTGAGGCTGTCTGGGCGTATGCTCTATCCACTTTGCAACAAAGACTGTCTGGGCACATGCTCTATCTACTAGACCACAGAGGCTGTCTGGTCAGACACTCTATGCATTAGACCACAGGGGCTGTCTGGGCAGACACTCTATCCATTAGACCACAGAGGCTGTCTGGGCACATGCTCTATCCACTAGACCACAGAGGCTGTCTGGGCAGACGCTCTATGCATTAGACCACAGAGGCTGTCTGGGCAGACACTCAATGCATTAGACCACAGAGGCTGTCTGGGCGGACACTCTATCCATTAGACCACAGAGGCTGTCTGGGCAGACACTCTGTCCATTAGACCACATAGGCTCTCTGGGCAGACGCTCTATGCATTTGACCACAGAGGCTGTCTGGGCAGACACTCTATGCATTAGACCACAAGGGCTGTCTGGGCACATGCTCTATCCACAAGATCTAACAGCCGTTCTGGGCAGATGCTCTATCCACTGCACCATGGAGGCGGTCTGAGCAGACGCTCTATCCTCAAGACCATAGAGAAGGTCTGGGCAGATGCTCTATCCATTACACCATGGACGCGGTCTTGGCAGATGCTCTATCCTCAAGACCAGGGAAGTGGACCCCTTAAGGTTCAGATGGGTTATTCTCTGTGTTTTTGCTCCTAAAATGCAGGTTACCCAATCACAAATGGAGACATCAGCTCAATTAAACTGTTGTTTGCTCAATGTCACATAAAATATTCTTTGATGTTATGAGCAAATGTTGATGGTATTCTCAATTATTCACAACAATGCCAGTGATTTGAACAAGCCAGTGAGCATGAAACAAAAATAATAATGCTCCATATACAATAACTTCTAGATAACAGTGTGCATTGGTTCAGCACAATAGATCAGCCATCACCGTCATGTTACGTATTGATTGCAATTGTATGGATGAACTGTTTCTAATGAGACATATGTCAATGGGTGTGAAGTAACTGGAGCTTGACG